CCCGGGACCAGTTTTTCGTCCTGATCGTTTTTTGACGGTCCCGAGGGCCGGTAAGGGCCCCCAAAGGCCAAAAATAATGAAAAACCTCCCGTCGCGATTTTTTCATAACTCGAGGGGGTCTGGGGAGGAGGAGGGGGGGAAAAGAGGGCAGGGGGACAGGAATTAGAGGTGACTGGCTCATGTAGGCTTGCCGCGCCCGCAGCGGCTGTGACCGCCTCGGGCCAGCCACCCGAGCAGGCCACAGGTGAGCTGGCACCTCGATGCCAACTCCTGTCCATCGAGAAGGGTGGGCATCCCAGCTCCCCAGACCCCCTCGAGTCATGAAAAAATCACGACGGGAGGTTTTTCCACATTTTCGGCCTCCGGGGGCCTCTACTGGGCCTCGGGACCGTCAAAAAACGAATCAGGATGAAAAACCGGTCCTGGGGAATGGGTCCAAACCTCTGGGGGTCGACGTCATGAAAAAATCATTACGTCGGGGGTCTGGCTCGCACCTCACCAGAGTATTCCGTGCAGGCGCACCGGCGGTGCACTGGGGCGTCCTGGCCGAAGCCAGCGGAGATGGGGCGTCGGCAGCCGGAGGAACTACAATCTCCCAGAAAGGTTCTGACCAGGGGTGTGGGGGGGGGCAGAGAGGGGGCAAAGAAGAAAAAGGGAAAGATAACCAGAGCGTGAATGGCGGAGTTGGGAATGCATGCGCTGGCGTTAACCGCGCGCGGGCAGCAGCGCGAAAACGCGCTGAGCTCTGCGCAGAAGGCGCACTTGAGATGAGTGGCGAAACCCAAGCTCGTATAGCTGGGAGTCGCATCGAGCTGAGAATTAATGGAGGGGGAGATGGGTCGGAAGGCTCCTCTGCTCCTGGGGGGGGGTCGAGAGCCCGACAGTGCCACCGTTCTGCGTACAGCGGCAATTTGCGAAGGCGCGCCGACATGTACCCATTCCCGCGAGGGAATTGGCGAACTGCGGACCCCAGCTTCCGCCCTGCAGGGCCACGGCTGCCTGTTCATTCGGCGAGGCTGCGCGTGCGTATCCACCTCTTCCCCTCCTCCTGCATAGGGGGGGGGGGGGGCGGGGAAGGATAATTGCTTGGGAGGGGGAAAAGGTCGGCGTCCTTTACCTATGCGGCAGGGCTGCAAAGCGCGGCGCGCCTCACACCACGCCTGCACCAGGCAGAAGTAACAAAAACATAGGTGCCAGTGGCCAGAACGAGAGACGCTAGGAGTGGCGCCCCCTGCAAAAACTCACACCCCGCCAAACGACCCAATCAGAGGGAACACCAGACTCACAGGGGTGGATGGGGACGGGATTGCGGGCATGCTGCCCCCCAAAACCAACGATACGGTGCATTGCTCGGTCAGGGTTGCCTCGCCTGCAACGGCTGTGGCCGAGTCGGGGCGCCAGAGGTGAGCTGGTACACGGATGCCAGCGCCTGTTCACCGACAGAGGTGGGCAGCCCAGCTCGCACCTCCCCAGAGCGCCCGTAGAGGCAGAGTGACGGTGTAGCGAGGCGCGCTGGCCGCAGCTAGCGGGGTCGGGGTGGCGGCGGCCAGGGTAGTGCCATCGCGCGGAGTGTCATAAACAGGTGCGTGGGAGAAGAACGGCAACCCAGCTCGACCTCCCCAGAATGCCTCGTAGAGGCACATTAGCGGTGCAGCGAGGCGTGCTGGCCGTAGCCAGCGGAGTCGGGGTGACGGCGGCCAGGGTAGCGCCAGCGCGCGAAATGTAAACTGCATTGGAGGGGAAAAGCAGGGGGGTACGACGAGCTCACAGGTGAATGCTCAGTGTGTGTGTGTGTGTGTTGCCGCGCCTGCAGCGGCTGTGGCCGACTCGGGACCACCCGAGCAGGCCAGAACTGAGCTGGCACACGGATGCCAAAGCCTGTTCATCGACAGGGGTGGGCAGCCCAGCTCGCACCTCCCCAGAGCGCCCCACGCCAGCACAGTGGCGGAGCAGCGAGGCGCGCTAGCCGAAGCCAGCGGGGTCGGGGTGACGGCGGCCAGGGTAGCGCCATCGCGAGACATGTCATAAGCCCTAAGCAGCTGCGGGGGGAAACGAAGGGGGGAAGACGGCATCAGAGGTGAATGCTACATTGTGGGTCTGCCGCGCCTGCAACGGCTTTGACCGACTCGAGGCCACCGGAGCAGGCCAGAGGTGAGCTGGCTCACGGATGCCAGCGCCTGTTCATCGACAGGGGCAGGCAGCCCAGCTCGCACCTCCCCAGAGTTCCTCGTAAAGGCAAAGTGGCGGTGCTGGCCGCAGCTAGCGGGGTCGGGGTGACGGCGGCCAGGGTAGCGTCATCGCGCGAAGTGTCATGAGCAATTGCGTGGGAGAAGAAGGGGAAAAGAGGGGGCGGGGGACGGGATTACAGTAGAGGTGATTGGTTAATGTGGGTTGGCCGCGCCTGCAACAGCTGTGACCGACTCGGGGCCACCTAAACAGGCCAAAGATGAACTGGCACACGGATGCCAGCGCCTGTTCGTCGACAGATGTGGGCAGCCAGGAGGAGGAGGAGGAGGAGAAGGAGGAGGAGGAGGAGGAGGAGGAGGAGGAGAAGGAGGAGGAGGAGGAGGACGAGGAGGCGCAGGAGGTGGGGGAACAAACGCCGGACCTCTCCTGGTGTGTGCCCTGACCAAGATTTCGAGGCGACTCCAGTTGTGGCGGCGAGGGAGAGAGCGGCATCCGCATCTCTTTTTCCTCCGCGATGGCCCCTTTCCTCCAACGCCGCATGTTTTCGTGAAGCGCCCCCCCCACACATCTCGGCGCCAGGACCCTCCTCCCTGCTTAGTGCTCCTCCCTTCCGTCCCCCTCCTCCTACTTCGCTCCTCTTCCTGCGACGGAGTTGCAAAGGGAGCCTGTTCCTTTTCAAACCCCTGGAGGGCCGACATGGCGCCATACCCATCCAGTCTGGAGCGCGGATCTCCCCAGACAGCCAACGTTTTCAAACAAAAATAAAAACCGCAGCGCGGAGGTGCTGCGCCGTTCTCGGCCTCGGGCCCCGGCACAGTCCGCGCCGAACAGCTCGGGAGGACGAGCCGGCCAGAGGGCCGGGGCCCCCAGGACCCCCGCATGGAACAGATCACGACGTCGCACCCCTGGGTCGACCCCTCCCCCCAGAAGGCTGGCTGTCCATCCTGCCTCGTCGCCTCCAGGATCCCCGTAGCGAAAAAGCCACGACGTCGCATCTCTGGGTCGACCCCTTCCCCAGGGCTGGCTGCCGGCTCTCCCTCCTATTCCGGAGCGGCCAAGAGGGGGGTGGCCAAGAGGGGGGGGTGCAAATCGTGACCGGCGGCATGTGCGCGGCCCAGCGGGGGGGCCAATGACGCAATGGAACGAGAAGAGGCGCCATGAAACCTGGGGAAATATCGTGGCCCCCGCCATGATATCCCCCCCCCCCCCTAGTCATCACCCCCCTCTCTGCCGCCCCCGACCCTATGCCTCGTCTCTTGGCGGCCCGGGGCCCAGGAAAAAAAGCCGGCCTGCAGGCGGCCAGGGTCGCCATAGACGTTAGAGCCTCAGCCCTCCGAGGCCTGGGGGACCACCCACCGGGTGGGCGCGCGGCCTTCTGGGCCGTCTCTCTCGGGGGAGGCCAAGAGAGGGGGGCGTCCAAGAGGGGGGCGTCCAAGGGGTGGGGGGGGCGTCCAAGAGGGGGGGGCGTCCAGGAGGGTGGGGGCGTCAAAGAGGGGGGCGTCCAAGAGGGGGCGGGGCGCAGATCATGGCCAGCGGCACGTGCGCGGCCCCGGGGGGGGGGGCCAGGGACGTCATGACATGAGAAGAGGCGCCATGAGATGTGAGGAAAGAGCATGGGCCACGCCATGAGACCCCCCTATGTCATCACCCCCCTCTTTGCCGCCACCGAGGCTTGGGGTGATCTTGGGGGCACCCGGGCCGCTTTGGACGCCCTGAACCGATAGGGCGAAGGCCCGAAAGTCGCTGACGAGCCCAAAGAGGACCATCGACTGCGTCTGCCGATCTGCGGTGAGGAACTTTCGACTCCCGTGTCGTGGCGGCGGCCCCTGCGACATGCTACGCCTTGCAAGCTGATCGCGTGTCGCTCCGCTTCGCGGGACAGAAGGGGGGGGAAGCTCGGAACGTTGAGGCTTGGGACGCGCTGAGCGTGTCGCGCCGAAGCGTGATGGACCAGACTGGCGGCGCGACACGCCAAGCACAAGCTCCTGACCGTAGGCGGCGGGGCGAGGTCTATCTCCAAATGTCTCGACCCATTCCCCCGGACGACCGCCTTTTCGCCTTGAGTCGTGCTTTGACGGCCCCAGGGCCCAGCAAGGGCCCCCACTGAGATCACCGCTGGTGTTGCTGAGGGGGTGGGGAGGTTAGAAGCGAATGCTAAGGTGGGTCATGCCTGGCCTAACCTGGCCTAACCTGCCCAAAATAGTTGATGGTGGTTAGATAACTCCGCCAAGTGGGTTCCGCCCACTTCGACCAAATCGGCAATCCCCCGTAAACCACTTAGAGCACTTACAACCCACTTGCAAGACAGATCAGGCCAGGTATACCACACCTAAGCACCCGACTCTTACCCCCCCATCTCCTCAGCAACCCCCGCTGGGCTATCATCCTGCAAACGGCCCAATACCCTCCACGGTGCTGATTTTCCTGACCCAAGGGAGCCTGAGAGGCGATGCAGAACAAAAAAAACGGCATCAACACATTTGCCTCGGAGGTCCGCGCGGGCTTCCTGCCTCGGCACTGGACCCCCCGATTGGGCGCGCGACGCTCAGCGCCGTCTTCCGGGAGACCCCCGCGCGGACCTCCGAGGAAGCATACAGTCGGGGCGTTGACCTAAGGAACCCTAAATAAGGAACGAGGCCCCTTTTTTCCATAAGTTAAACTTCGATTTCCTATCGAAGACATAAGGAAAACCTGCGGCAAGCTGTAAAACACTTAAGGAACGCGGAGCCCCTCCCCAACCAAAAGGGTTCCTTCTTCAGGGCCCCGACTGTAGGCTTACGCATATACGCTGTCTCGGAGCGAGGCCCCCGCGCCTGCACGCTGGAGCTGCCGCCCAGCGCCGCCGGGTGGCCCTCTCCGCCGGGAGCGCGCCAGGGCGCGTCCGCGGCGGCGTGGCCGGCACAGGCCGGCCACGCCCCGGCGGACACGAAGCGGCGGACGGGGGACGCGGCGCGCGCGTCCGCCGCGGGCAGGCCGGGGTGCGCGCCGAGGCCCGCCGCGGCGTAGGTGTTCGGGCGCAGGACGGCGGCGTCCGTGGCCGCGCTGAGGCCTGGCAGGTCAAGGCCTCCCCCCGCCTGCCGGCACATCCCTCCTCCTCCCTCCTCCCTCCCTCCCTCCTCAACCTCGTCCCCCCTCCCTCCCGCCTCCTTCCGTTTCCTCCGCCTCCTCCTCCACCTCCACCTCCTCCTCGTTTTCCTCCTCCTGCTCAACTCGTCCTCTTCCTCCTCCTCCTCCCCCTCCTCCTCCACCTCCTCCTCTTCCTCCTCCTCCACCCCTCCTCCTCCTCCTCCTCAATCCTCCTCCTCCTCCTCCTCCTCCTCCTCCTCCTCCTCCTCCTCTTCCTCTTTCTCCCTCTCCCTGTCCCTCTGCCTCTCCCTCTCCCTCCCCCTTTCCCTCTTCCCCTCCCTCCCTGGTGCCCGGACAAAGTGTCCACACCGACGGCGCGAAGACAATCAGGCATGATGGCAACGGCATTTGCAATATTCATGTGGCTCGCCCCGTCACCCCCAAACCCAGAAATTGAAGTGTCCATATGTTGTCCCCCGCGCGTTGCCTGGCACCTAACCCCGTCAACGTTGGGCGGGGGGGGGAGGGGGCAATGGGTATTTGTTCGACGCAATTCGATGTCGCATCATATTGGCGCGATGGGTGTGGACACTTCCCACAGTGTTTCAAAGACCGGTTCATATTGTTATGAAATTTGAGCGTTACTTAAACTGAGTGCGTCTCACGTGAAGCCCCGAGGAGGGGAAGAGTGGGGAGGAGGTCTGAAGAGCGCAGGAGCTTTGGATGATAGCGTCGGTCTCTCGAGGAGGGCGGAGGTGTGGAGTAGAGTCGAATGGAGTGGAGTGGAGTGCAAGGTATCTGGCAGGAGTAGGAAGGGGCGCCAAGGGCCACGATGACGTGAGTTCACAAGACAAACTCCCTAAACTGACAATGGTGGTGGCGACGGTGTTTTCGGTGTTGATGCTGATGGACCTGTTGGCGATGGTGTTGGTGTTCGGAAACCGCTTATGCAGATGATGATGATGACGATGATGATGATGATGATGATGATGATGTTGAGGATGAGGATGAGGATGAGGAGGATGATGATGATGATGATGATGATGATGATCGCACTCCCCTGAGCGCGCCAGAGAGGGGGGCAGTTCAGCTGCCCTCTGCCGCGGGCCTCCTGATGAGCAGGCTCCGCACGCCGCGCCCCTTGGCAATGTGGCGGGCACGCGCGCGCAGGAGAGGCAGCAGGCATTCGGGCCCGTGCCTGTGCGAGCTCCTCAAGGAGTTAAAGGTAGAAAAAAGCAGGTCGTGGACAAGAAACAAAGAGAACAGCTGCTGACTAGACTGGCATGGCATAGTGCACAGCATACGCGCATCGAGGCTCTGATTCAAATATTCGACTGGCAGGAAGGGCAAAACAGAATGGAGCAAGCTCAGGACATGAGGGCAATCGAAGTAATGCTGGACGTGGTCGCCGCCTGTGGCCAGGCAACCGAAACGGCAGGTAAGACGGCCTTGCCTATACCTGGCAGAGGTCGCCCACGCGTTGCAGATGGTTTTGAGAATGGCCGCAGCCACAAATGGGCCGACGCGCGTGCAGGCAATTTGGAGCCTGAGCACCGCAAGGTCGATACTAGAGGCATCAGCAAAAGGAAAAGCGAACCGAATTCGATTGCCCAGGAGAAAACTCGCGGAGCTACAAGGGGCCTCAGAAAGCAATTTCTTCAAAATCTGTCTCTGCAACTCGTGAGTGTCCTCATCGAAGTGGTTCCACGGCAGGGCAGTTAGTCGCTCGTAATTGTGAATCAGGTGGAAAACAATGGACTCGGCACGCCATGCCGGGTATCGCTTGACCATCAGAACATCCAAGTCCTCTTCCTCAAGCTCATGAAAGCGCTTCCGAATGCTATCAAAAACCTTAGACCGAACAGCGACCCGATACATGGCAGCCTGATTCTCCAGCACTAGGTTGCGCGGGGCAATGGGCCAATGCAACGCAGACGAGAGATTGCGGAGAAGATCAGTAGGGATGCTGTAGAAGGGGCATGCGGTGAGAGTCTGCAAACCTTTGGTTTCCATGCGAAGAGCGTCCTGCGATATGTAACATAGCTGCATCACGAAGGTGAGAACCGAGAAGGCCAAGGAGTTATATGCATAGATACTTTGAGTAAGCCCAAGACGAAGCGACCGAACATGACGGACACGATTAATATATTTCTGAAGCGGAGCGGACCAGGATTTCTTGTAACCTCCAGGGCCCAGAAAGACACCCAAGACTTTGCCACTAGTGCCGTGCATAAGCGAGCGAACGTTGGTGCGAACGGACTCGAACAGGGCGAAATGCTGGTCGTCTGGCATCTCTTGCACGTGCACGATCATACACTTGGCAAGGTTCAAGAGCAGGCCAGTGCAACGGCTGGACCTAATAACATTCTTCAGCACAATCGGAACAGCGAGCAGCAGGTTGGATGCCGAGATCTGGATGTCATCTGCAAAGGCACGAGGGGTAGCACAAACAGGAGCTAGCAAGTTAGATAATCGGCGCAGCAGCGGGTCGATGCATAACGCAAATAAAGCACCCGACAGCGGACATCCTTGTTTAATGCCTTGGGTGATCGAGTAGCCTGGAAACTTCTTTCCTGCTAGGCATATGTGTGTGTAAATACCGGTGTATAGGAACCGAATGGCATTCACGATATACATGGGTATGTTCATCATGATTAGCACATCTATGATCCAGTCGTGGCGCAGCGACGGGAACGCGGCGCGGAAATCCAAGAGGAGTAGCCCAGCGTGCGGCATGCCGCGATAGCAGGCGTATTCAAGAATGTCTGCCTCAAGGCAGAGCAAGTTGTCGAGCATAGACCTCTTGCGCACGAAACCCGTCTGGGAGCCTAAGACGCTGTACTGGCATTGTTGGCTAAATGGTTCGCATATGGCCAATGATACTATTTTGTTATCAGTGTTGCTGAGAGCAATAGGGCGCACCACAGACGCTTCCCGAGAGATCTCAGAGGTTCCAGCTTCGTGAGGGCAGATGGCCTTAGGGAGGTATACCGTGAGAGACTCGTTGAAGCCTTTATGCGGGGGCCCATATGTAGGATTGTCCAATATAGCGAGATAAACTTGATACAAGGCATTGTGAGCAGCGTCTCCAGCGAACCGCCAGGCACTGTAGGGAATTCCGTCAGGGCCAGTCGCGCTGTCCTTGCGGCTGACGAGCTTACCTATGAAGCTATGCAGGTCGAGCGTCCACTCGATACCTGGGGCAACCTGCTGAATCTCACTGCTCAACAGTGTCTTCTGGAAGTGGTATCCCCTGTCCTGAGGCTTCGCGGCATGGACCCGCCCCCAGTGGGACGCAAGGTTCTGAGCACTGACTTCGAGATCAGGCGAGGGGTTCCCGGTGGGGTCGGGGACCGAAACCAGAACGATTCGGCGCCTTTTGGGAGACCACTGTCGCAGAAGCTGGTGCAACCTGAGGCCTCGATCGTCGTCGGGGGCTCCGCCACCTTCGACGTGTTCGCGAATTTCTCGCTGAAGCAGAGAATGCTGGAGCTCGGCCATTTCCCGATAAAAAGACACAGAATCTCTAAAACAACATTCATCAGCATGAACATGTAGACTAAGATGAGGAATAGCCTGGATACACCTCCGAACGTCCCAAGACTTGCTATCCCGAACAGCCCGTAGAAACTTAAGGTAAACCGACAACTTCTGCGCATCATTGTTGGGGCCTCGGAAGAACATGCGAGTCATCAGAGCATCCTTGGCAACATACATCGCGTCTTTGACGGACAGGAGGTACTCGAACGGGCCCCTGGGCATTTCAACCGAACTTATGGCAGCATCAACCTCAGAACCAAAATCAGGATGTTTGGCAATCCAGGAGGGGATCGTCGGGGTAGTTCTGCCGCCAGGCGAAAACTGAAGCCAAACAGGAATATGGTCGCTCGGCTGGGCGACATCGTGAGCAAGACCTATGACACCGCTTCTTGGTGTCGCATCAAGAATGTCGGTGGTGGCAGAAGAGATGTAGAACCTATCCAGGCGACCAAGGCTGAGAGCACCGTCCACCCTCCCCCCAGTCCGATGAGTGGGCTCCTGTTGGGCAACTTCAGCAAAGTGTCCGAAAGCCAGAGAAAACATGTGTAGAATAGCGGTCCTCTCAGGGGTGGGTTCCCTTCCGTCTGTGAACGTCCTCATCTCCCCCTCCTCCAAGAAGTTAAAATCGCCTCCCAAGATGACTGTGGCCTGATCAGCAGGCAGAGCGTGAGCAGCAACCGCGCGGATCACACGATCCTTCTCAACGTCGGAGAGGGTAGGGTCGAGGTGAAAGTTAATCAATTGCAGCGTGCCTTTCTCGCCTGTCAGTGTAACTGCTATGCATCGTCCATCGATAATGTTACCTACGTGGATGTCCTGAAAGAGCTGGAGCAAGGAAGGATCAATAGACATGGTAACACCTCCCGCAGCCGCAGAAGAGCAAAAAGAGCCAAGGTGCGTGTGTGCTGGCACGTCACGATCCAGCGAGGAAAGATCTTCTTCGGTCCCGTGGGTTTCCTGCAAAAATACTACTTGAAAGCGTTGTACAAGACTTCTGAAAATCTGCTGTTTCCGATGCTGTCTCTGTGGATCGCCGTAAACACTGCCAAAAAATGCACGAGTATTCCAAGAAGCAAGACCCATAGCACGAGAAATAACAAATGGATGCCGCTGCTCAGCAAGAGCAGCTTCACCTCCCCCAGGAGAGTGTGGATCAGGAAGGTAGGGATCATGAATAGCTGGAGCATTCTCAGGAGGAAGAGAGTCAGGCGGTGTCGAGGTGGCCTCCCCCCGTTCTCGCAGCAGGGCTCGCAAACGTTCAGGATCGAATTCATCGTCACTATCGCTCCCAGATACTGGCTCACTCCGCCCCTATTCGCGGCGAAGCGCAGCAGTGACCAGCTCGGGCAACTTGTCTACTTGCTCGTCGGTGAAGCCGTAGCGCTTCAAGTTGCCGCGGTTGGGCTCGACGTTCGGGTTGTCGGTCTCGAGGACATTCTGCAA